TCTTTATACACTGAATCAACGGATGTTACATCAAGCTTATTCATTGTCTGCACATCTTCTAGTAATTCAACCTTCACTTTGCGATCTTCAATGCGTTTATATATAACCCAATCATTCTTATTCTTATCTGGATCTTTATCTTTCCCTTTTTCACGCAAGTATATATATATGGTGCGCTTCCTCTCCTGTGGTAATATCTCATCCTTTACAGATTCCTTTGCTTCTTCTTTTTCTTTTCTTTTCAATAATTCTTTTATATTCTCTAAATCCCCTTCTCCCTGATGGTGAATTTTCTTAAATAGACTATTTTGGCACGTTAAATATAAGTTCTCCGCATATTCATCAACTATCGCTGACAAATCTTCATCGGGTGTAAACCCATTCGCACTTATGTTATTAATCTTCTTAAATAATCTATTGTTCTCTGTTATATACACACCATTGTCATCCTCACGTTCTGATTCCAACCTATAGCTGTCCAATAAACCACATTCATTTATGTACTGCATCCTTCTATATAGACTCTTAGAGCACGTTACATATATTGTGTTAATTAGATGCTCCTCTCTCATCAATTCCTCTTTGTTCAGTAGATCAATCGAATTTCCTGATATATCTTTTCCAAACAATTCGTCTCTGCCCAGTTTGCCATTGGTCTCCATAGAACTACCTGCCACTTCGAATTTTGCGTGGTGTAACTTGTCACTTTCTTCACTAAAATCATCTTTGACCTGCAATATAGGTTGATAAGACGTGTATTCCTCCTTAAAAAGGTCCTCTCCTAATAATGTTTCACGGTTCTTCATATGAAGAAATTTCTCTGGAACATCATTAGGTATTTTTACATGCACTTGTTCCGATGCATGCTCCTTCTTTGATGAATCGTTCCTACTTATGATATCATCTATAGAATCAATCTCTACTTCGGACAGCACCTTTTTTGATGCATAACTTTGTTTTACTTTTTGCATCCTTCTATACATCTCATTACTTCTCTTTATATAAAATTCCTCTCTGGATAGACCTTCCTCACAACAGGAATCTGCGGTTCTATCATACGTATAATCATATGCTTCCTGTTCAAACTTTCCCTTCGGTGTATAAGTGCCTGTTGCAGCCCTTAATCTCTTCTGCATATCTCTTTTG